GTGTGTGTGTTTATTTAAAAGTACACAAGCTTAAGATATAATCTTACTAATATAATGGAGTTGTTTACGATAATGTGAACCTAACACATTACCATGAAATAAGAATTAAAGAATCAATAAATTTGTCTGTTGAATTTCGCTCAAAGCTACTCGAAGGTTGCCTGCGCTAACCATCCCTAATTTTGATATGATAGACTAGAGGGAGGGGGCAGCTAGTCAATACCGCCCACTTACCTCCAACTTTTGTCCTGATCAGTGGATTTAAACGACACTCTTATAACCTACCCGCGACTCCAATTCCACATTTCTTTTCTTGTTTTTGGAATAACGGGCCCAATCTCAGATCTACAGTCTGGAGTGTTAACCACGGGGCCGCGCTAGAGAACTAACGTAAAACTAATAATCACTACAAAAAAATTCAATAATAAACATAATAGCATCATGATGAACACAGGGAGAGTGAATCCCCCCCCCCCCACCTACACACATTCCTACCCACCCATACACATAAATGTACTTCTCACAAGTCATAGTTAACTGGCACAAATTTGACGTGATATAGCATTTTTTTTTTAATATGCACATACCAGTAGAAAAGAACGATGTTAATTACTACTAATGTACTACACGATTGTACACAAAAGGGAGAAACCTGATGTAATGCTTTATCATATTTTTAAAGTCTGGGTAATACGATTGATGGGTGAAAAATAAACATGAAGTCTAACCTATCATTACCATTCGATTCATCACTTATCACTCTTAAGTAGTAAGTTAAATCATTTTTAAGTTCTTGTTTCAGAGGATATAAAACTTACTATTACTACATACAAAAATCACTATACGATATTCTTAAACAAAAATAAATACTTTATCTAATTTCCATGTTAGGTATATAATATATTCTACTACTAGAATCAAGTCATACACTCGTCCATGTCGTGTCCGGAGAAGGGTTCTGTTGACATTGGAGTACCACTGCTTTAGATTTACAGCAACTACTTGGGACCTGGGGCCCCTTCATTCTGAAGTTTTGATTCATGTCCATCCAAATCTTATATGGCAAGTAGGAACTATCACCATCAGGTTTAATTCCACAACATTCAAACTGAAAAAAAACAATACAATAGTTAAGTAAATTTACTCAACGTAAGGTGATTAGCAGAGTTACTATCTATACATTATCACTTCAAAGTAGGGTTTCCGTGTTGTTGTATAACAAATTTTCCTATTGAATTAATTAATTTAAAGGTTATTTTAACATCGCAGTAGTTATGTATAAATAATTTCAAAATTTGCTTGACTGATGAATTTCCTCGTTACAAATACGTTAATTTAGCAAATATTTCTCGTGCAACCTGCAGTTTATTTTCATATACAACTGGAAAATAAAACACAATAAAGACGCACACTGAAAGCAGCATTACATTATACCTTTGTCTGCACTGCATCCCAAGCTTCTGTTACCGGGGTGTCATTCATGTACTGTTTGACCGTTTTCAACATCTCGGTATGCATGTGTTCCTCCACCTGGTGTTTAAGAAATTTTATACATATAAAAAAAATAATTAACAGAAGGAAAATATATATATATATATATTCATTCAAGCATGAGAAAACTTCTGTAATAAATTTTATTCAAAAATAGTTTACCCTCCTATAAGCAAAAAAAAATTAAAGTTCACCGATAAATACTGAAATTACAGTGGGGTACATCTAATATCATTTGATAAAATTCAATTTCCTTATCTAACAAACCGGAATCGCACAGCTAATAACATAATATAGTAAGTAATAGTCTTTTAGAAAGAATTTCTCTACCAGACAGTGAACCCTGAATCTATGTGATTATATTCGGCCGTTGCATTTTTATTATTTTTATAGTTTGATTTTCTGGCACTATCATAATGTGTATTATGTTTGGCACCTCGTATTATTCCTTTAACTTCGGAAAAACTGAATTTTTTCTGTACATAGATTTAAAAAATTAACAATTTAAACTTAATATTTTAATGTCAAGATAATTTAAGAATAATAAGTACGAATTATTGATATAAGCAAATAATCACTTGTTTATTCTCCAAGATCTACCCCAGACATGTTAAAACATAGCAACATTTTAAATCACGTCTAATGTTATTTTTGTACTTCCTGTATGACGTTTGTTGGTAAAGTTAACATTTCAATATTCATAAGTGTAACGACACCTTGCTTTAATCCCTTGTTTACCAAAAAAGCGTGCTTGATAACTCTGCAATTTTTATTCAAAAG